AGCAGAAGAGATAGAGAGCAGAAAGCAAGAAGCAAAAACAGCAAAAGCAGAAAGAGGGAAGCAGAAAGCAAGGAGCCAAAAGCAAAAAGCAAGAAGCAAAAACCAGCAATAGGAGAACCAGAGAGAAGAGCAGTAGGCACCACACATGATCAGGAACCACAGAAACAAAAAAAAATCCCAAAAAGAAACACAAAAAATCCCAAAAAATAGGCACCCGATTTGATTGCGGGGAGGGCTTATTCAAGGGACCCAGGAATGGGATTTAAATCATTTGGGATTCGTTCGACCGTCGGACATGTTGTAGGTGGCCAACAAGGGAACTTGATTAACAGGCAACTAGACGCGATAAGGAAAACGCAAAAACGAGCTCCTCCTAACTTGATCTCCGCAAGCAGGAAGAGACAGATAGACAGGCAGGCAGACAGGCAGGCACGGGACGCAAGCATACATGCAGGCACGCAGGCGGGCAGGCAGGCAGGCCGGCACACAGGGAGGAATGCAGGCCGGCAGGCAAGCGGGTACGCTTGCATGCATGCATCCGACATTTGTACATAACTACGGCATACAAGAAAAGCAGTGCTGAAAAGCAAGATCGCAAAGAAGCAGAAGCGTCGAATAGCAGAAAAGCATCAATTCGAACAAGCCCAGGAGCGCAAGCAATGGAAGAGCGAAAGCTAAACAAGCAAGAAAAAAAGAAGTGCAAAGCAGGAGCCTCATACATAGCAGTTGGTGTCACTCACCGTCACCCAGGTTGCAACTTTTTAAGAAACATTCTGGGCTGTCGCAACGTGCCGATGAGGCCTTCCCAATGTCCACCTTCTGCTAATGCTGCACCACTTCTAACCACTCTGTGCCCTTGGCAAACTGCAAATCCTGGCGCTGGCAGCACTGCAGGGATGCCCTAACAGTCCTTAGGCTTCTGTGAGTGAGCTGTTGGGGCCTTCTGTGCTCTCTTCCAACGCTGTCTCGCAAGCTGCCGCGATTGCCCAGGAATATGCCTACAGCTCAGAGAGGCTCAGAGAGGCATACTGTGGCAGCACCTCGACACCACCCTATGCCTGACCATCTGTCGCATCCTCTTCACTCGGCTGCTCCTGGGTGAAGAAAATTAGGCCTGGCCGGAATGAGCGATTTGAGGCATCGCTTTTCAGACAAGTCCTTTCCTGGCAGCGAAGCATGGTATATTGGACCTTGACGTTGTACCTCAGAATCACAGCATTTGCGGACGGCTGAAACGCAACAGGACTCTTCGTACTTCGTAGTCACATTCGCATCACAGCCACGCCTGGCCGTCAATGATGATGGCCAGGAGCACCCGAGGACTGCAGCGCGACAAAACGAAGAAACAGAGCCTAAGAAACATACTACACTTTTAAGCAGGTTTCTACGTTCTATTTACAATATCCTGAATGTAAGGAGGCTCCAAATTTCCTCAGAGAAGCAAAACAATAGCAGCCCTTTATCCTCAATACGGGTCCGCACATGCACCGTCAAGGACTGCCCGGCGACAGGACATGAAAGAAAAGCAAAGAACATCCCAACAATCAGGGCAGCCTGGCCTTTTGGTTTGTCCTCTGCACGAGAATCGTTCCTCCAAAGCTGAATAAAGCTCCTGCCAGATCAGCCCCGAACAGAGTTGACTGCTGCGAGGCTGTGCTTATTGGGCAGAGCCTCAGCACGATGGAGCTCTGAAGTACAGGCGCAACTGCGCACGAAAAGAAAGTCCCGCGACTGGCATGTCATGAGATTCAGATAGACTCGGGCTGTCTGGGGCGATTCCAATCCTAAGTCCAGCACGCCAAGGCCTGAGTCGGAAAGTTGGCAGCCAAATCGAGGAAGCGGGCTACTCTTCGGCGCAGCTTGTCGCGGACAGTGATGTCGCTGACCTGTCTGAAGGTGCAGTCCCAGCAGCACATCATGGTGCAGTTGTTGCATTCCCTGGGGCACGTCATCATGCCAGAAGGAATGATGCGCTCCCCGGTGAACCGTTAGCCTGACATTCGGAAGACGGCGCTGCAGTCCTGTTTGGTGACTAGGCGTTTGCTGCAAAATGCATTCCAGTGACGCAGCGGGCTCTATCTGCAGCCTGCTAGCCTCGGGCGTTCTCGTCAGGATTGCACTTTCCCCCCCTCCCCCTCACACATGTCAAGCGTTATATCTTCGAGGCAAAAACCACGAAGAAGTATTCGCTGAAGTTTGTCTCCAGAAAGCGCTCCACGCCGTCTTGTGTCGTCCGAATCCTGTATGATAGTCTGGACAGTCGCAGACGGCAAATGTGAAGGCAGCACTTAGTTCACAAGCATCCGGAGTCCAGTCAAATGGAAGATGAGCAGTTCCCAGACCCAGCCGCTGTAAAGAGAATTTCCTTGCTCAGCGCACTGCACGCAAATGTGCTTTGCTGAAGTTTTGTCCGTAGCGTGTGCCCCACAAAATATCTAGGGATCTGAGCTTGTGGCACGCCACAGAAGGAACCTAGACATGTTGGACAAAAGATCTGTTGAGTGCTGGTTTCCTGGTTAGTGCAAACAAGGTACCCAATGAGACCAACTGAAGACGCTCCAGACATTCGCTTAATCGTGGATGCTTTTCTGGACAGCATGCGTGAAGCCTTGCACCCAGCATCTTTTAAAGTGCTGCCACGCCGTAGTCCAAAATGTCATCATGGTGCAGCCCCAGTCGCAAATCAAGTTGGTCGGACTCACCACCCACCCTGCGGCCCAACACCATGTTCAGCAAGTCTGCGCACGGGCAAGAATGCATTGTTGCGCCTCCCTCCGGGAGCTGAAAGAGCACGTCCATGTGCTGCGGCGATGTGCTGCAGGAAAAATGCCTGCTGTTGTTTAGCAGGGGGCTCACACACGGACAGTTTAGTCTGCAGGCGCCTCATCAGAAGGGAATTGCTGCTGGCAGTATGGGCCTTGGGAAAACAATTGATGCCATGTCAGCTCAAGCTTGCGCCCCGGCTCCTCAAACCCTTGCCGCACAAATCTGTACCATGCCTCTCAACGGACACCCTTTTTTGAAGACCCGGCCGGAGACGAATGCCACCACTGCTAACATTCTTGGTCGATGCGACTTCTGGAGTTCAGTCCAAACTCCGGTCCATCACAGAATATCACAGATCTGGTCTTGCTATCATTCCTCTCTTGCTGACCTGGGCTAGAGAAAGCTTGTGATTGACTCGCATGCACAGAAGAAAACGCATTTTTCAAAAGCAGCGGCTGTGCCCGTGACTTTCTGCGTGCTGCAACCTCAGCCTGAACACAGGCTTGCAGCGCACAACGCAACATTGACTTGCGCCATCCCGCATGCGTGAAGCGCTCTCCAAGCAACACAAGTTGATTGCCCTGCCTGTGCCTGAAGCTGCCGCTGCTTCTTCAAGCGGGCCTCTGCGTGCTTGAATGGGTAAGTGCCTTTCTCTCCAGATCCACAACATCCAAGATGGGCATACAAAGAGATGATTATGTTTTCAGGAACTCAATAGCTTTGGAATCAAGGCCTTCTCAGCTCGTTCCTTCTGTCGCTCTGCACGATCTTCTTCAGCTTGAGCCTCTGCAAAAACCACTCTTCATGCTGCATGTTGCTCGACTGCTAAGTGCTCACTAAGGAGGTGTTGCCTTGCGACGTTTGCTTTCGTCCCACATTGCCTTGTCTGGGATTTCCTCCTGGCACAGTCCAGCCCCGCCTGTAGTCCCACAAGAGAACAAAGCATGAAAGGCGGGCCGAAATTGCCTCCCACGGCAGCCTTTGGAATGCGAATGCAGGAAACTTGCCGTGCACAATGCTGCTATGGGCTTGCCCAGTGGCATGCTGCACGGAGATGCCTTTGTGCATGCGATGTAGTTCGAGTCCACCTCTGCGATCCTGCCATGTCAGGAATCCTTTGAGTGTAACTTGTTATGGTAGAATGCGTCAAGCTGACATCTGCGACTTCTTGGCTAGCTAGTATGCAAACCACATGCCTGATGCTTTCGCACGTTTTCCAGGCTTTGGCAGGATCGGGGGGAAGGGGGCAGAGGGGATAGCTCCCTTCCTTGCATGTCGTTCAGATTTCATGCCGTGCAGCGAGCGTTGCAGACGGTAGTTGTTCAACATAGCTGTCCCCAAAATGGCCATTAGGTGGGTTCCCTTTTTTGTTGGGTTCCCCTGCTAAGGGACATGTATTTCCAATGCTCCCTTCCCTACAAAGGGCCTGCAAGAGCAACCCGCGAGTTAAAGAAATGATTCGCAACAAACATCGCACTAAAACCTAGAGAAAAACAACTTTTGGATTTGGACCCTCTGAAATAGCTAGGCACCGCGCGCAGTCTAGGTCCCCAAAAGCAACAAATATTTTGACAACAGCCTTCATGATGTTCCAAAGGGGTCCCAAACACGAAGAGTTTTGAACACGATCGTACAAACGCAGAGAACACTTACTTTACAGCTTTGCTGACAGTTCTTCTCTAGGCCTCCTGTGGATTTGTCATCTACCCTAACCCTGGGGACCTAAATTTCTCAGAGGCGACTCTCACGCTTTTGTTTCACACTTTGGCAAGCTCAATAGAGAAGAAGCTATCAAACATCCGATCCCATATCGTCACAAGCCATCACTGCAAGAGCACCACTCCTACAGTACCTGTCTCGTAGACTGCATTTCGGCTCGCAAGCTTCATTTCGCCTCCCTGTAGCATTGATTGAGTTTTAGACGCAGAGGCCGTGTTTGAGCATGGTCACAGAAACTCTGCACTCTCAATTGCCCAATCCTGGAAAGGAGCAACCTTCAGATCCTCGCCAGGACTTGAGACAGTTCTTGCGAGGGACGTTTGCGCCTTCCAAACTACGGACTGGGTAAAAATCCCACGCGCGCCACCGTTGCTTTTTGTTGTTTATACTTTTGTGCTGAAAGCACCAGCAAGGCAAGCAGCATCACCAGCAGCGATAAACCATTCGGATGGGGAGTTGGGCGCTGGCGGGAGGGAGGGAAGAAATAGATCCTTGAACCTACACAGTTCGGTTGTTGGTTTTCAAGGGCAAGACCCTAAGTGATGTAAGGCCAACACAGCCAACAGGATAGCAGCCAGGACAGCAGGCATGCGGAAGAAGAGCCATGCTTTCCACTTCACCATGACTCAAGAAGCCGCAGCTGTAGGGCGGTATGCATGTGTGCTTACCGGCATGCAGCAGGATGGGGATGATTGAAGCGGTAATTTCAAGCAATGCAGCCAACTGGATAGCCTCTCCATGTGACTTCTTGTGAGTTGGCATTCCGCTGCCGAGTTTGTTAGTATCCGTTCAGGCCGGACAGACCTCGGTTGCGGTTGCGCTCAGCCCTGTCAGCTGACTGCCCTCGCTCCACTTCTACCATACCATATGTCAAGCTTCCTTGGGAGAGGGATGTAACCCATCTGCATGCTCCATCCTCAGCAGGCGTGGCAGTATGCATGGATGTTTCAACCAGCTACATGCCAGGCAAACGCTGTAATCAGCGAAGCTTCGCACTGCGATTTCTGCTTCACTGTGCCCCAGCTCGCGGGCTATGTTTGCCACGTCCTTACATAGGCAGCATGTCTCCCACGCTAGATTCACAAATAACGCAATTCTGCGCACGGGATCTGAAACAGAAACCAAACTAAGCACTGGGAATCCCTTCGTGCTAGACTGCTACAACCCGCTTGAGACCAGAATCTACAGGACTGATCTTGCACCTGCAGCAAACCTAAGCTTGACAAACACTGACAAACCCGCGCACGAGCAACATTCCAGACCTGGCCTGCGGAAGGCTGCATCAGCAGCATCACGCGCCCCCCCATGAGTGGTGGCCCGCTTCCAGACTACAAAAGCACGTCTCCGGCAGGCCCCCAAAATCACTCCCAAGGGCATTTTGCTCTGTCGTGCCCCCCTGGCCCCTCAAGCTTCCCAGCCTCACATTGGGAGTAAGGAATGAAACTCCCTCTTGCGAGGAGCTGTGGTGACCTTGCAGAAACCTGCCAAGACTCAGTCTTGCCAAACATCTCCCCTCTAGCTAAAGGTGCCATGCACATCGTCGCGATGCCATGTCTCCTGCCGTAAATGCGACAAGGTCAGCACAGCTCAGATTGCTTCCGCAACTCTTCGTGCTCGAGTCCTGTGGTAAGCCGTCAAGTCGGGGAGCTGCCTCCAACCTCACGGGAAATTCTTCCAATCGCGCTGCTGTTCATGGTGGTCAATTAAAATTGATCGGTCGTGGGCTTTCCTAAGCCGGCACACTGCAAGTCACACCTGCGCACACCTGCATGTGTTTTTTTGATGGAACTGATGATGTGAGAGGAACATCGGCACCAGCCCCTCCTGAAGGCGGCTTTATTGCGCTGGGCAGCAATGCACCTCCACTTGGTTGATTTCTGGGAGCTCCAAGCCGGAGCATCCTCGGATGGCAACAAGGCAGACTCTCAAATGATCACCGCGTCCAGCGCTGAGTAAGTCATGTGTGCCCAACTATCTGCCATACCATACTGGATGTAAAATATGGAGCGGCATCTGTCTGCACAGGAGAAGCCCAGGTTCGCATGCCCTCAAGCTGATGCAAGCCGAAGTTGGACACCCCCAAAACACCTTGACACGTTCAGACACATGATAACAGATTCCGTCAGCCACCAGGGCTTCATGCAGCTCCCATCATATATGCAAGGTTGGCACGTATTAAGCCTTGATCCCGCAGTGCCAGCAGTTGTGTCCAAACCTGGACAGAACACTCGACTGCTCCCCCACCCAGCACAAAAAAAGGTGTCAAACATGTTGTTCAATAACCATTGTCTTTGATTTTCAAGCGACCTTTGCAGAGTCATCCTACTTCCGAAGGTACCAAGCATCACAAAGGAACAACTTTATACTGTGTCTCGGCGTGAGTGGTGTTGCAACTGGCTTTGATGTTAGTTGCGTTGGCAGCTATCTAGCTGTGGTTCTTGAAGCTTTCTTGCTGCACTGTCAAGTGCTTTGCTGATACTGCAGTGGTGCAAGCTTCATTCAGAGCTTTTGTGATGGGCGGGTGGCTAGCTCCCCACACGCCCTTGCACTCTTCCGAGTCTGCATGTTGAGATTTCGTGCCTAATCGAAAATGCCAATGGCTTCTGTCGCGTAGCAGTGGCATAGCAGTGGCGATCTGACGAGTCATCGCTACAAGGCGCCCCGCCTTTTCGATCATGCCGCCTCTGGGGCTCTGCAGCAGATACACATCGATGCGATCAGTTTTCAGATTACCTGGGAGTCCATATCGCAACAAGTTAAACTTGCTGCCGCTGCTTGCTACTTGAATTGCAAGGTAGGTTCGCAATGAACTTTCCAGCGACTCTCGAACAGCATTTGGGTGAGAATGTGCATGCTGCAGCAGCTTCCTCAATTGGGAAGGACCATGCCTCACAACGCATGCTGGGAAAGCATGGCACAATTTCAAGGCGGAGCTGCGTCGCGATGCATATCTCTTTGTAGTGGACGCCAGACTGCTGAACGCCCTCTACAATAGCTGACTCCATGCCTTGCACTCGCGCAAATGCCCCTAAGTTGAAGCCTCGTCAAGTCTGACAAGCATGATTGTCATTTTGCCGGGCCCCCGTGGGTCCTGAGGACAAGCTGGTGTCCACCAAGCGATATCCAGCTTGTATGGCAACTTTTACTGCATCCACCAGTCGCTGTCGACCATCTTCCAATGTTACCTTAGGAAGCGAAAACAAACTACATCTGAGATTGCTATGCGCAATCCGCTAGGATCCTCCGGGTCCAGAGACTATCCCTTGCCAAGCTGGCACTCACATGTCCAGTATGCCCCTGCGCCCTGCAAGTGTTGTTCTTTTCTGCTGCCCTGTTTGCTTCCTGGCCTCCACTCGCCTTCGACGGCCTTCTTTGACATACTTGCCTCAGCCCTCATCACAGATTTCCTGCCCGTGGACTCTGCCAACCTAGCTCCCCACCTTCTCGGATGCCCCAGACCTCTTTCGCTGCATCCTCATGCCTTGAAGTCTTTTGCATCATCCTCTGCAACACCTTCCGGGCCGCATCGGCCGAACTCCGCACCCTACCCGCAACCATCCAAAAAAAATCCATTGTGCTGACACGGCTGGCTGGCTTCCTGCCAGGCAGCGACTACTTGCAAGACTGGCAAAGCAGAACTGCTAAGACTGGCACCCCTCGGTCGCGAGAGCCTCCTGGTTTTCCAGTACCAAACCCAAGCTGTGGAAGTCGGTATCCGGACCGCAGCCTTACAATCCTGAGGTGCGTCAGTGCACCGACATATTGTCCACATTGTTTACTTTGGTCATGTCTTGCTGCAAAGGCTCTGTTGCCCAACACCTTTTGCACGAACACGCACGGTCATCAAAAACTCTGCGTGTGCGACTCAAACACGTCTACTACTGGCTGCTTGCACCTGTTCTAACTCCCGATGCTGCGAGAGGGTGCAGCGGTGACGACCCAGCATATCTGAGCCACGCAGCAAGAAGGGGGACAGCCCTCTGTCACTCTGTGCAATGTGACCCGGCCTGGATGACAATAGCCAGGTCACCAAGACACTGTACCAACTGATCAGCAGGTGCTTTCCGGACTGGTTCTTTCGGACGAGCAGGCTGCAAATCGCGGTAGCAGCAAGCTCATAAGCATGAGGCGGCATGCCGAGACATCTATGGCAGTTGGAACTAAGCTATGTGCCCAATTGACTCAAAAGGGCTAGCAAGGCACCGGCAGCATCGCATATGCCATGTGCAACCTCCTACCTGTACAATCTAGGTAATGCATGGCGTTCTTTCGTTCCTGCTTAACTTCTGCCCCGCCACAGACAATCACCAATCGCGCATCGTAACTAAACCTTTACTGTTTCCTACAGTAGCCAGCAGCGGTCCTCTATAGTCCTCTTCCCGCCCTGGCCGAGGATCATAGTCAAAGCGCTGGTAACCAAAACACGTCTCGAGCTTGGCTCGCTGGTTCTTGAGCACAATGCCCGCTTGGTCGACCTGCTGCTTGCTACGCCGCCAGCAAAATGCAGTCTCTTGGACAAGTTCTGTCCAGGTATGTCCAGATTTTTCTTGGGAGACATTTTGCCTCTGATGTTGGCCACCGCAAATTCCATCAGCATCGATCAGCTTCGTGGCAGCCAGCAACGCATCTGGCGATCTGAGACCTTCTCCCGGAAAGCTGGCATGCCCTCTGCTATGTGACGCCACCGACTGTTGTGTCAGCTCTCTGGCGATGGAGACCACTGATGCGGTCGAGATCGAGATCATCGAAGCCAAAAACTGAAGATCCAGGAGCAGTGACCTTGTCCAGGAGCCCTGCTGCCTGCTGCACGTGAAATTGCTCAAGCTCTAGAATTGGCATCTGCCTCTTGTTAAGACAAATGCCGCAGCATTGCGCCATGGCATGCTGGCTTGCTCTTGTTCGACAAGAAATAGGCACGTGACATAGACCCTTGCATAATAGGCATAATGGGACTTTGGCAACAAGCAACCTGGATTTTTCTCTTCACTGCTTGTGCTCTGGCCATTGCGCGCTCCAGGCTGAGGGGTGCTCGTCTGAAGGCTCTGATGAACTGCGCCATGCGGACCCGCGACGATTGATTGGGGCCTAGGAACTTCAGGCTGGAGACTTAGGCTGAAGAGCATGTTGAAATCCTGTACGGCAATGCCCTGCAAGGCCAGGGCGAGATCCATGCACGCATCGCCTTATAGCAGTGGCAGCAATAGAAGGCAGGACAGGCCTGATACGTAAACACTCAACGGTTGGCCAGGCTGCTGATCCCATAGGAGGAGGCTACCTTGCTGCAGTGGTATTCGATGAGATAGAGCATAGATTGGATCCTGGGAAACATGAGCGCGCGTGAAGAGGATGCACAGAGGGCATTTATAGGCAGAAACCAACCTACCCGAAAACTCACAGGAGTTAACGTGCGCAGGTTTCTTTCTGCTTGCGCGGCATTTGTTCCACAAATGAAACCTGCGCAAAATTGCGCAAACTTACGTGACATGTAAACCTCCGCAACCTTACGACATTCTTGTTGCTGCTCAGTATGCCCTCTCGTGAAATTTGAAGCTGGCACCGCCATTGCCTGGATGTAGCCAGTTGGCTGACTGTCCAGGCTTGAAGCGCCAGTCCTCAATTGCCGGGACGATGCCCTTCCCAATCTCGGATGGCTGCAAGGCTGCTTTTCCGACTGAGGAGGCAGCGCATTCATCACCTAATCCTTTTTGCCACTCCTCGAAAATGTTATGAAAGCCTGCGCATCTCGGGGTATTTGCAGAGGGGAATCTGGCAAAGCCATGCTCTGGACAGGACTCTGCTGGCCCCAGCTCTAGACTGTCAACAACTACCTCACGCTTACGATGCCTGGCCTAGGAGTTCTAGGCAGTATCTACATAGTTGGTCTGCAGACCGTCTCCACAGCGAAGTAAGCATAAGCTGCCTGGAACCAGCTGAGTACCTGGCAGCTCATGGTAGTTTCCGCTCCCTCTTTCGGCGGCAAATGCTGCGGCCTCCATCCTCCTCCAGATTCTCCATCAAGTTCAAGACTCCTTGAACATGAGGCCCATCAGCTGCCTCAGCACATCATGTAACTTATTCCGAATGAACTATGACGCAATGTCCCTCTGACCTGGTATCAGACGGATTTTTGACCTTTTGCCAGACAGATCCATGTAACTTGCAAATGTTCACACGCCATGTCATTTTGTACTGCCGCCCCCAAATCCCCCAACACACCAAATGTCCCCAAATCTTGCTGAAAGCCGCTCGAGCTCGAGGAATCCTCGGCCGCCATACGGCGCACTCTGGTTTTGCCGTGCCGTAAGATGTTGCATGCAAAGCACTCCAGCGAGAAGTCATGGTCATGACCTTCCTCGTAACGCAGATCCTCAATCTGCGTGTCCCCACGGAGATAACCTCAGCTGGCTTGTTGCGAAGTCCCTCGCGCGCATAGCCTCCTGGTCAAGGGAAACGTCACCACTCCTACATGCCTGGCAACGCCACGGATGTAGGTCCAGGTGCAGGTTGTTTTTGGTTGGGATACCACCGGCTTCAGTAGCCCGGTACAGGCACCATCGATCATGACCTTGTGCCAGCTGATATCCTGTTGTGATTCCGGACTGGCAGTGCATGGACAAGCTTTTCCGGCCAACAAACTCACAAGGATGTTCTCACCCAATATTGTCTCAAATGCTCGAATGACATTGCCTCAGTTGTTGGCCACGAGAGCATGCATCTGAGATTGATTCTAGCTTATGCCAATTGATCCCCACCTTGAGAGACCAGGTGCAGTTCTGGCGATTGTCAACCATCTGAGGGGACATGATCACAGGGTCAGGTGGCAATCCGTACCTGCAGTAAAACATAGGTCTCTGAACATGTCTTAACTTGAACTCATCGGACTTGATAATGTCATACGATACGAGCTGCGCGTCATAATAGCGACCGGTCTCTGTGCGCGATAGGACATTCCACGTTGTTGGGTCTGCACGCTGGAATCCTGGCCTCTGTTGCAAAATCTCTTGGCTTCATAGGTTCAATTCTGCTGGATCAAGAAACAAGACTTCAGCAGCAGCTTGCGGTCTAAGATGCGCATGAGCTTCGAGGTAATCCCAAATTTCACTTCGTGTCCGCGAGCAGTCGTCTTCCGAGATCACATCTCGGAAAACCACAAATCCGTACCTGCTCTTGATGCATGCAAACCAAATCAGATGCCCACAACTTCATGCGGAGGCACTGAGCCATGAACTTGCGAGCTGCATCGCAATCGGTCACCCTGAGCTCAAATGCTCAGCAAGATTTGCATGTTTTGCCCATGCACTAGGTGCCGGCAACTGCCGCCATGCAGGATTTCATAACAATGTCGCAAAGCCATATGTGGCTTTCACAGGTCTAGCGTGTAGAGATGACACCAACAAAGAATAGCAAAGACTCATAGCTGGCTATAACATTCGGGCCACCTGCTCCACGTCTATAGTGGGCAGGTGGATTCCACGTGCACACATGCATCGCGCTGCAGTACAATTTCCCCGTCCAGACTCTGGGTTGGCCTGGCTGGCTCTTGACAGGGATTGACTTGGCTTTTTGAACTTGCGACCATAGTGAGCCACGTCCGCATGGTGAAACAGTCTCGCGAGCACGGGACACTTCGCGAAGACGCAACTACAGGTTGGGCATGCGATATGCGCATGAAAACAAGATGCCCGGTGCTCGTTGTACAGCGTGCCTGCTCATTGCACCATAAATGAAATTTCTCGGTGCAGCCAAGCCGCGAAAAAGCAGCTACAAAGCGGGGGTCAGAGTCATCTCGTGGAATTTGAATTCGTGCTGGATAGGCCGCCAGTCCTCTCTGGCCTGGTGCTGCCTGGGCATCTGGAAGCAGCCATGTATTACCTGGAGCTTACCCACATGGAATTTGGTCAAATTCGCTCAAAGGTAAGGCAAAATGTGCCTGCCCTGTACCATGTGCCCCGGAAGCTGGCAGCAGCTGAGTCTCCAGCTTTAGCTGCAGCCCTTACCAAGTTGGAGTGCTCTATTTTCAGCTTCTTCAAAATGCTGTGCTCCTTGCGATGCGCGGCTGTTGTGAAGAAAACTACAGTCAAGAGCTCTATTTATGAGGCAAGTCGATGCATTCGTCTCGGCAAGCCAAAACACTCGCATCAACTTCAAATCTGAACAGGTTGTGAGGAGATTGTGCATTGCGCCTTCACCAAGATGTCTCGGGCAGCGCCGGATTCTTAGCAGCGTGCAAGGGGGCATTGCGATAATGCTCCCAGGCACACCACAGCATGCTTCACATATCAAGGCATGCGTCGTGCCAGGCTCTGGACACGATCTTTTTGAGCTTCATATGCGGCGTTTGCTTGCTGGATAGACAGGCCCCAGTCCTGACAAATGTGTGCAATGCACCGAGAAGCTTTCCCACGGGAACTTATGACACCTTGACTTGTGAAGCTGAAAGCCTCCCCGCTAACAGTCCCCCTAACCCGCTTGTTGCTGTAAATGCAGCGTGGGCTCCTCCATGCTAAGCCCGTTTCATGAAGTGGATGACGAAAGAAGAGCAAAAGCAAGGTTCAGGTTACAAGCTGCAACAATCGGAACCGATAGGGACACTGTGGACATGTCATCTTGGCAACCGCTTGGATTATGAATTACAACTCTCTTTGTACTTCTTTCGTGCTCTCGCATGGCCTGTGTTCCTTCAAGTTTCTCACGTGGATGGAGAAAGTGTTTTAACATGGTGCAACGACGGGGAACGAGAGCAGTAACCACGCGGAGAGCGCCGCATCAGCGCAAATCTCTGAGGAACTGCCACATATTGATCGTGTGAGGCTGATTTACTCCTCCAATCAACCGCCGTTTAGGCTTCAAGTTTCAAGGTTGGATTTGGGAGCTTGTGTTTACCGTTCGCAACCGTACTCCGGTAGACGAATACGGAATTCCCGAACTCATAAGATCTCCCCACATTCCCCATTTCTGGCAACTTGCGGAAGATTACATCTGTGAGCAGTCCGTTGACGCTCCCTTGAAAGGGACGCGTGAAGCCCTCTTACACTCGTCCTGCAAGGACTCTTGTCACAAAGCTCCGCTTACACTGTGATTCGGGGTTTGGCATGTTGAGCACAGCAGCCACAGAACTGCCTATCTCAATTTGGCCCTCAGAAAGAGTGGAGTTGCTGAACAAATGCACCTAGGCTGACAGGTTCTTCCAGCTTCCGGCCCTTGCGGCAGAAGAAGTAGCCCTTCGGCCTTTGCCTAGAAAACCTCCCGTGCCAGCCCGCAAATTCATCCGTGATTGGGCGGTTTTGGCTCGGAAAAGCGCCTGACCCCCCTGTGTAATCACTGCACCCTGCATGTGGCTGCATGGCCTGCCAACCTTCTTTAGAGAATTTGATGAGCTGCAACATGTGCCTTCTCTTCAGGACAGGCCGCTCCGGAGCAGCCCCAGAAGCCAGTTGAGTCGTCCATGATGTCCATGGCAACATGCTGTCAAGCTTTTTTGCCATGAGAGTGCTGCAAGCTAGTCCTCGTGCTGACTCCCTTCCCTACACGAAACACGTCTGCTGGTGGAACCCACGCACACAGGTTTCATGACCTTGTCCTGGCACAACAACATGGTTGAGCTATGAACTGCCACGCCGAACCCTCAGGCATCTGAGCGGAGTGCAGACCAATCGTGTCTCCCCACCTGGTAGTTGCAAACGGGTCACCTTCCTCAGCAGTGACGACCAAGCAAACTTAAGGGCCCATGCTCCTTCCTTGCAGTCCAGAGGCTGGCTGTGACTTGCCAAGCCATGGACCATTTGGTCGCTTCGATCGCGTTCCGGACTGCAATTGAGCGTGCGTGCCCCATGCAAGTGGTGATAGGCTGACGAATTGCCCTGAAGGCCTGCTTGTGGCGTCCAGCTGCAGGCCGTGTTGCTCGAACGCATGCAAGGCCAGCCCTCGGACATTTAATCAGTGTGCTTTTCCGGAGGCACAACGTTGTCCCTGTTCACGTGCAATTGCTGCCAGGCTCCTTGTATGTCTGCGTGCTCCGCGTCGCATCCCTGCAAACAAGATGCAAGCAAGATTCCGCAAGTGTTCCTGGTCCAGTTTGCTGATGCGTGCCTCTTGCGGACAACGGAGCACTGTCTGACACGACGTGGATCCGTCTGGGTAAGTGTAGCCTCTGTTCTGTCTGCGCCAGATAAACTTCTTGCTGCGAGGCCCTGTCCCATAAATTCCAGACAGTAAAGATCACATGCCATGTGACCTGGACAGACCTGAAAGCAAGCCAGGCTCCCAGCGGTAAGTTCTTTGCACAATTTTGACAGAATGCGCCATGGCCACACCTCCCGACAAATGATCGTGCTCTGTATGCTTAAAGCTGGTGCATCCTGCATCTAGCCCACCAAATCATTTGGGATCCGGCTTCTTGATTGTTCAAGCTAAGGTTAAAGTATTTCAATAACCTCACAAAGCACAGCATTTCTGCAGCCTGAGTGTTGTCCTTGCGAAGAGCAGCCTGGCTGCTGACAGAGGTAGCATCAGCTTCTACAGTGTAGAAGAGGCACCTTGATAGTCGTCATCAAGATTTACGTTTCACCAGCTCATAGTTGCCGTTCTTTTTCACGGCTTTGCGCAGGACCCTCGTTCTGAAGCATACCCCCCATAATGCCCAGGCCTAGGTTGGGATGCCACGTCTGCACCGCGAGTAATTAGTGCGAAGTCCAGAAACATCCAGAAACCAAGCTTCAGCTTACCAGCCTGGGGCCCCGCATATTTAGAAAAATGACAAACGAGGACCACCGCAAGTCAAAAAACAAGTCCTTGGCCAAGTGAACTTCATGAACAACACTCGGCCATCCAGACACATCTACCTGGAAATGCATATATGCCTTGAAAAGCTACTAGCAAGAGCTCGACAAACCTGGAGCAAAGTAGCCAAAGGCCTCTGCGTTCGTTCAAAGGTACGAGGCCGCATGATGCTTCACAGATCTACTTACAAGTTGGCAGTGCCAGTGCGCATGCGGCAGACCTCCTTGCATCCTTGCAACATCAGCAAGCCACGACATGCAATAATTGCAAGGTTCTAGGGCGTCACTGCATGCTACACGCTGTTGTGCCGGGATCGGATGCGTCACATCAGTTCTAGTATCCCGATAAAACGTGTTAAGCTGAGAAGCTTGTCATTACGCATGCCTGCTTCTTTAGTGAAGCCGAAGAGGACGCACAGGCGCAATCAGATCCTGCGATGTTTAGCGCCGCGTAGCAGGCGCTTGGGTTCGCAGCTGCATTTCTTCCAGGCTAGCGCGGCACAACGTTAGCAGGAAGTCGATGTTCCCTGGAGGAGTTTCTAACTCCGCCTGAGTTGTGGGACCAAATCTGCCAAGTTGATTTAGGGCTGGGTATGCTGGCAAAAGCCTGTGGGTCGCTAACTCGCATAGCAGAAATGGCGACAGAGCAGGTAGCCCTGGTGATACACGTTCAGTCCGCCAACGGCGAAGACTGTGCCTATGAACGCTCTACTATGAAACTTTATGCTCCTCATGGCCGCTTTTTTGGCAACACGCATGGCCATGAGCCAGGAGCAGCGTGAGACCTCGTTTTCATGAATTATGAGGAACAGCATGCAATCTAAAATTGTTGCTGATCAAATATCATCAGGGGCACTGATGGGCGAAATGCTTCGAAATTTCTGCTGTTCCAGTATGGTACTGAATTCTGAAGCTATGGCTACACGGGGCATGTGGCATCTTTGGCATCCTGTGACCCACGACTGAAATCACCTCACCTCTTTCCTCCTTTCCCAATTCCTGCAGGCAGCAGCTCTGACGCCCCCATGCAGCGGAATGCAAACATCCGGTGTGCCAGAGCATCCCTGCCTGGTGGCTTCAAGCTTCTGCCACCGCCAGTAGCTGTGGTCTTCAGAGCAGAATTTTTGCCAAGAGTGCCTTGGTGCACAGGAGAAGAGAGCAGCATCCCTTCGAACGTCTTGTCTTGAACAGTCTGAGGCCATCCCTACAGCAAGGCCGAGCCACGGTCCATGCGGGCTGAGAGCTCATCCAGCTTTTCAAGCAGTGCCGCACCCTTCTTGGCGCCCTGAGCCTCTGGCGTAGTTGCTTGTCAATCGGAGTCTGAGCTGCTTAAGGCTTAAGACCAGGGCCGCTCCGCCACTGGGAGCTTGGGCAGCAGCCTTCGCCTTGGCACCTGGAAGCAGTGCGGCTTCAGATCAGACTTGTGCGTCTAAAAGGTCCCAACAGTCAAAACCGCTTGCGCTAATTGACAAATATTAACAGCTTTCTGGTAGTCAATAGGAGGGCCTGGCACGGGTGGCACAGGGCTCGAGGGTGGTCGGCTCCCAGCACTGGGTGGCCTGGCTGGTGCCTCAGTGCTGCCGTTCTGCACCAAATATTAATCCTTTCTCTCTGAGGTTCTGACTGCTGAAATCTTCCTTGGAGGAGGCGGCGGAAGCTTCTTGGCAGGTGCCTTTGCTGTCAATTGCTGTCGGGGACATTGCGCAAATGGGTCCAGTGTCTTCAAGAGCAATTTGAAAATGTGCATTTCTGCGCAAGACGCTTTGGAGAAAGGCATCTGCAGCTGTTCTGGCAAGTTGCGTTCTCGTCCGCCCCGCCTTCGCCCTCATCCTGTTCGCAGAAATCTAGGCACTCACAGGGATGGCAAACAAGCCCTTAACCTACTATCCTCCCTTACCGGTGCTCGGACAACCTGCAGCATGCTCTAATCAAGTACAGATAGCAAACGTGCACCGGCAAAAACCTGTCGCTAGCATCAAGCTGGATGTCTTTAGCTGGCACTGGAAAATGCGCCCAGCTTTGCTGCCCCTCTGAAAATTGCATCTTGTTTTTTTTCGAGTTTGATTCCGCGTTGACACCTTGCCCCCGGGCTGCGTCAAAGTCAGCGCGAGGTTCGACGAGGTTGAACGCATGCCAGTTGCAAGCCTCCTCACTGTGAGGTCATCTGCCATTCCGATTCTGCTGGCATTGAGGGCGCGCAGTCGCGCGCTTTCTGCCTGCTATCTCTGTCCTGGTCGTTTCTGTCGCTCTCTTTTGTAAGTCTGGCAGTCTGGCGCCCCCAAAAATGTAGCAATGTAGTAGGTGGCTGTCGCTACAGCGTGCCTGAGTCCTTTCACAGGCAATCCGACATGCATTGAGAAACGCGAATGCGTAGCCACAGAATGAAGCACAGAGTATAATAGACATAGCTTGCAGACCGTTGTCGGCCGAGCAGTGGCCGTAAACCCATCTCCCCTGCAGTATATGCATGATAGGCACCTCAAGGTCATCCATGTCTAGTCTGCTGGCAGCCGAAGCATGCCTGGAGCAGACACGGAAAACAGCTCTCTTGAGAAACTTGACGTGTGCCCATGAAGACAAGCTTGCGGTGTGCAACGTTGCAGCCCCGTTGCGAGGAAACAGTTTTTTCTCCTCGTGGAGTGTCTTGCTCGTCGGGCACAATTTCAGGGTGCTGGTCGCCTGAGCAATCATGATCAACACATCCTTTCTTTGGACTTGCCCGGGCGACTCCAACCAATTTGCAACTCAGAAGCAGAAGACAGACCATCTGGCTTTCACTTCTTCCAGAGCGCCCTGGAACGAGTCACTTGCATGAACGGTGGACAAATGATGGCTTGCGCATGCTGAGACAAATCTGCTGGCTCAGTCGCTGGCCTCCCATTCCGGTTCTTTGCCCATCTTGCTAGGCGCAGCTGCAACTTTTTTAACCTCACAAGAGTCACTGCTGCAAAATGGCAAAGGTGTCGGCGGCCTGCCAGCCTCCTCTGCATCCAGGTGTGGGATCACCTGGTCGAGGACTTTCAGCGTGGCAGCGAGGGATGCCTCAGCAAAGCTCTACGCTCTAAACTCCAGTTTTTACCAGCTCTCGTTACGCTGGTGCTGCTGCCTCTGATCGCTTTCTCTTTGGATTGAAGCTGGCAGGTTCGTGCGTCCCTCCTTCCAGCTGAGCGTGCCGGAAAGCCTGGCCGGGGTGTGCATTACGAGGGATGACACAACTTTCTTTGATCCAGGCCTCACCGCCGAGCTGTGATGCCACCGAACCCAGCGGCCGCAGAAGATCCTCTGCAATCTCAGCTCGACGTGCTGCTCGCTCAGAGCGCCGCCTTGGTGCACTCTTGCATACTTACTGCCTGCAGCAGCTTCATAAGACCTACCACGAGCAGCTACAGCTCAAATGAAGTAGCGAAGCATAATCTCAGGTGCTTGTGTCCGGACTGGGTATTCCGCAGTGCTTCTGCAGCGTGCTCCAGAGCCGGCACAAGCTCAACCTGACTGCGGCAGGTTGGCCCTGACTTGCACCGATGGCTCCCCACTCCCCACCACTATTTCGAATCTTCAGCGGGCTCTCCATGAAGGGGGCATGGATTGCACATGAAGCACGCGAAAAGCCGAAACGGACAAGGACTTGGAAGAGCTGAACAGTGCATTGCTGCATTATAATGCAATACTGAGCTCATGACAGGTGGACCCCTCAAACAAAAGATGCTCACAAAAGCGCTGTAAGCCCCGTAAGCCCCGGGAAGGCAAAAGCTCCATCCGGATCTCTACGGTTACTACATTTGCTACACTTCTCTGGCCTCGGCTGCACGCCGCCGTTGCGCGGCCTCACGGGCCATCGCCCGCTGTGCCTGCTTAGACAACTGCCCACAAATGACAAAGTTTCGGCACTGGCAAAGGCGAAGCCTTTTCTCGATTTGAATCGCGGATTTCGTCAATGTCCGCGACCAGCTGCTCTTCAAAGGCGTTTTCTGCCTGTCAAGGAACAGATTCTGCGGACCAAAGCCTAGACTGGCCCAATATCACTCACTTCCTGAAGTCGCTGAAACCATGACATGCTCACACAAAGCCTCCTCCATTTGCTTTTTGTGTTCTGCCGTCTCCTCTAATGGCCCCTGCCACATCGCCGCTGGTGTTGAGAGGCATGGCAAAGAACAAGACCACAGAGAAAAAAAGAAAATTGCCAACCCGTCAGTGTTCTCTACCGGATCGCTGTCAAAAAGCTGGCCTCCTGAATGTCTGAATCTTTTGCATACGGGCAATCCTTTCTCAGTCGACCTTCAAGCATACGAAGCGAGTACCTCACATTGATACCGGGAGCACTAGCTGCTTGGCATGATCACGCAGCGATGCAGAGGCGATGGCCCGCGTGGGATACAGCAGAAACTATGAAACATGTGTGCTTTGCCGGCGGCCCTCTTCGTCTCCACTTGCCACTGGGTGGCATGACACACAACTTCACAAAACCACAGGTGCATAATTTCCTGAGGGGCACAGCAACACCGAGTGCTTCTGCTTGAACCTGCAGTCATAACTGGCCAGCTTGGGTCTTGCGTTCGAAGTTGATTAGGATTGATCAGGTCAATTGTGGCTTCAAGAACCAACATCCCGAAGATTCCGGAGGGTGGCTTCAGGGCCCCGGCTCTGCCGTGACCGGAAAGTTGATCATGTCAGCATGAAGTCGTCGAATGATTTTCAAGGACCTTGGCCGATAATCTCTGACCACTGTCCACCCAGGCCACCCCTTAATAAGGGTAGTTGCAACAATGCCATCATCTGCAAAGGCGGTCATATTTACAAGCATGACATGCTGACATGACATTAGCTCTCAGGGGCTGGAAGGTCAATGCTTTCTTCTCCCGCTGCTCCGCATACCAGGCCTGCCACGTCTCAAGGAAAACAGACCAACGCTTTCAGGTGAAACGCTGCGAGATCTGCAACTATCTGCTTTGAACTTTGAACAGGCCTTGTTTATGCGCGCCTTTTCCTGCCGCACCACTAGGGCAGCAGACCTAGGCTCAAGAAGCTTCAGTTAGTTTGGAGAACATTGTGACAGAGCATTGCCACAGTAAAAAAGGGCTAAAAGCATGCAGATTGACATTACCGCCTGAAACCAAAACCAAAACCGGGCAATGATATTTCTCAAGCAGGGCCCAAACAAAACCTGGAGAGCCGAGCAAGAATTAGAACAGCTTCGGGATCTGAGAACAAACTGGTAGAGCTTGTGAGTCTTCTTTGGGCCTAGGTGCTCTATACAGTACAGGACACAGTTATGCGTTGAGATGGCATGAGTTCTGGGACAACTTTCATGGTAGTCAGTCCAACAACTTCGCCGTGAACAGACAACGTCATAAATGAGCATCTTTGTGGTGGCACCTCCATGCAACTCGGGAGTGGGGCAAAGGCTGAAAGGATTGGTCGCCAGAATCGCACCCCACGCGTCTGCTCAAAACTTAATGGGACCCATTTGCAGAGCTGGGGGCGTCTGTCTTGTACATGCTCAATGCCTAGCTCCTAGGAAGTGACTGTTCGCGCGGCTCGGTCTCCAAGGACTTATACCAAGGTGACATTAGGCCACCTCATGCCACATTGCAAGCCATGCTCGCTCATTGCAAGAGGGTGAATTCTTAAGCTGACCCACTGTGTCTGCTACCTGTGCCCACCTTCCTTTGCTCAACGAAAGCCTTACATCCTGAGAACGCGGCATCAGCACGCGCGTTTGTTCCTGGAGGCGCCTCCTTTCACTTTCCAACTCTTCCACCTGGCAGGCCACCAAATCTCACTAGAAAATGTGAGCCCCAGTCTGAGCCCTGCACAGTACAAACGGTAATGATTGCATCTTTCACATGTTGCTGCTGGCCTCTTTCTCCGTGGCTTCTGCTTGGGCTTTCCGGATCTTTTCCAGCTCCTCCTCGCCACCGAGAAAACGCTTGCTACCCCCAGAGAACATGGCCGCATGTATCTTGTTCACTTTCCGCCATTCATGCAAAGCGAACCTCTGTGTCGTCCATGACTTTCCGAAGAGCAGAAATCCGGTCCATGGCATGCGCCTTGTCCCTGACGGCAGCGTGACAATTCGCACCTATTAGCTCCTGTAGCTGGCTAGCGTTTGCAAAGACGGTGCCTGTCGCGTTGTCTTCGCCAGCGCCTGTGAAGCGCCTTGCCGACCCTTTCCAGGCTCTCCTTCATGTGAACCTCGCGCCGCCGCATTTGCTCCTGCTGTGATACCAAGTGCAATCTATGCTGGCTTTTGCTGGCCAGTTGGTGGTGACATGTCGTGGCATGACATGCTCCTTCATCTTCAGGTTGATGCTCCGCTCCCAGTCATATTCCTGCTGGCCTGCACTGCTCCAAGCTCAGTTCACCCAATTTACGCAGCTGTCTCTTGTTGTGGCTTAAGGCCTTCGAACATGATGAAGTCTCGCTTATCATCCTTGTTCATCCTTAGGGCCACCAGTGAGCAGTGCACACCTGCCTGCGTCTACCAAAGAGAGAAAACAAGGGAACCTTCGCTGTAGGAGGCAACAAATAGATGTGACGAATCTGAATGGAAGTGGTTTCGTGGAACGCAGCTGCTTGCCAGCTTGGCTTGTGGAACAAGGATCCTGCCTGCAGTTTCTGAGTTGGAAATCTAGGTGGCAAGCCGGAACCCACGATTCAGGCAGGAGTGGTGGTCCACGCTATTTGGGGATTCCTCCCAATTGATCTCCCAAGCCCCAGAATACTGGACTGGAAGTTCTCAGTTTGATGTTAAGCCGTTAAGCAACATAAATGGATGGGTATCTTAAAGGAATTCCCGTACGTGTTCTCATTGTCAGGAGAGTGACCGGCCAGCATCCGAATGGCATCGCTGCTTGTAATGTAGAACGACGCTGCTTCGTCGCCCGTACACTGGGGCATAGTGCGTACTGTGCTTGCTAGCATGGACCCAAAGCACGAACCTTTTCAGTCCCCTGCAAGCAATTGTTCCCTCCATCACAGCAGGCAGAACTTGGTAAACGGCTAAAGTCGCGTCAGTTGGTTCTCGCATGCAAGTTGGGATAAAGTATGGACTTCTTGTTCACACTTCGTCCCAGACTGGGTTCTCATCCCAGACTGGGTTCCCAAGAACAATTCAGAGTGCGCAGCAGCGAGCGCCATCGGCAAGTTTCGGACGTATAAGCCACTGGACTTAGGTTTGGGAGAGGTAGGACTGAGCTGGTCGGGGTTCCAGATTTAAAGGGTTCTCTCTTCAGGTTTTTGAAGTGTCAAGGGCTTGGGGGGGCGGTCAAAGACTTTTTGATCAGGGTTGTAGGGGTTTGAAATTGGCGGGGTTAGGGTAGCGCGTCAATGCTAATATTCCCTCCCACTTAGCTCAGCTTAGCCATCATGCAGGGAAGGTTGACTATGTCTTGCTTTGGCTGTAGTCTCAAAAAAAGATAGACTAAATGCGGGGCGATTTTTTGGAAGCTGTAGGGCCCACGCAACACATCGGGAGGGGTCTTGCGTTGACTAAAAATACTGAATGTTGTATGTACTACTACTAGCACAAGCTGGAAATAAAGATGCGCTGCGCGCAAATAGGTATCTCAACAAGCATTGTCCAGAGATGATATTATCGTGTCAATTGAGGGCGACAGGCTGATTGCCTGCTGGATGCTGCTGGCCTTCTTGCCTGCCTGTGGGAAGTACTGCTGGCACTGACTGAGAGCAACAAAGCGAATGTTGAAGCGGGCATGCTGCCCTATTCTCAAAACGAGTGGCTTGTCTTCGTCCGTTGCGATAGCACGAAGGGTTGGGTCAACCTCTGGCCTGGGTGCAGTGTCATCTTCTGCAGGTCTGATGCTGTTGAACCGCTTCTGAGAATGTTGCGAGGTGTCCTTCTCTTCTTGCAAGCGCTTTCGCAAGGCTTCCAAGCATGAAGATAAAGCAGGCAAGGCGTCCACAGTGGCAAACCTGAGCGAACGCAGCAGGCACGCAAGTACTCCTACTGGCAGTAATTGTATCTGGGGGTGCTGCACCAAGTCCTTTTGGACTGTCTGGGCCTTGAGCGATGACTTCTACGGACTGATGTGATGTTTCAGCTACGGTTGACATTGTGGCATGATATGCCAAGCTGCCGGTGCTTCGCCAGGGTCCAACCTACTGCAAGCGTTCCAAACAAGCCACAGTCTCTCATTGGAGGCTACAATGGATCTGCCTCGCGGTCCTGGCTGCTTCGTCAGGTGGTCGCAGCGCTACTACTTGAAGAGATCGGAAGCAAGTGGCAGCAGTTGCCGAAACCTAGCATTTTGTGTCGAAAACATAACATCAAGCAGCACCGGTCTGTCTACCGAAACAAAGCCACCCTTACAGCAACGGCCTCTGCCAGAGCTTCTTGCGGCGACATTCTTGACAAAGCCTCGCTTCGCGTGAGGGCGACTTCCTATGTGAAACTTCATGCTAGCTTTCCGACCTCTGGACTGGGAAGCTGCAACTGAAGCAACTCCTGAGCGCAGCGGGCTCCATGTAACACTTGATTGCAGGATTCTATGTGCTCTTGGGGGCTTGCGCGGCTGGCGGCTTCTGCAGGATCAGCACCCAACGCTTTTTGCAGGGCCTGCTTCCTTGCATCAACCTGCGACGAGCTCCAGGAAATGAAGGAGCCCAGGAGTCTTACTTCCGAAAAATTGTTTGAATGGCCTTCTGCCGTGCCAAGCTTCTTCGGGCGGCCTGACATGCGCTCATCATGTTTGAAGCGATGCGTATCATTAAGCTTGCCCAGATCTGCCTTCGCAGCCTGCCTTTTTTCCCGAGCCGCAGCTGCAGCTTGTGTGACAGACCTTGATGCCGCAAATTGCCCGCTGCAATCTCTCACTGGTCGCTGGCAGTGATTGAGAAGGACTTCCCTGTCTTAGTCTCTCGCTCTGCAAGACTCCGCAGCTGCTGTGCCTTTGTGGGGTCTTTTGCCTCCGATGCCTGTGCCGATTTTTGAGAAATACAATGTTCATGGCACATGGGTTCAGGCTGCCTTTGTTGCACGGAGCTCTATTCTCTCCTTCAAATCTTTCTCCTGAGCCTGACAGAATGCCCGCCTGCGAAAATTAATCACTTTCGGGCATATAGGCAAATTGCAGGCCTGAATCTTGGCAAATGAGGATTGCGTCTCCCTGTCGAGGTCCTGCAATGGCTGCATGATTGTCTTTTAATCGCCCGCACATCTGACATCATGGCTGCAGCCCGTGCCTCATCAATCCTCTGATGTTCAGCCTCCAGTACTGTCTCGAAATCCTGTCGGCACTCACGTACAAACTGCATCAGTTCTTACGTGAGAAGCTGCCAACCTGGACCTGAAAACCCCCAGGACTTGGAAACATGCACCCAACCCCGCTGACCCCTTGAACTTATGCAGGAGCTCCTGCCCGTGCTGGCATGCATGTGACTCAAGGAGTTTTGCAGCAGCTTCGTTGCGTTAGAAGGGTTCTGACTCTAGAGGCGTCATGTTAAGCATTTGAGGGGTGGTGAAAACCCCCCACCCATTTAAATGACCCTTAATC